ACTCCAGTAAAAGAAAAACATTCTTTTAAAAGATTTAAGTGTTTTTAAGTCCGGCTCTTTAAAAACATTTTATAGAAGTTAAAGGATCAACTTAAGCTTTTTACTCCAGAAAAAGTGAAAAATTTTTTTTTTGAAACTACTTTAAAGTATAAAAGTACTTTTTCTTCCTTAAGTAGAAATGTTGCCATTCTATACTTTACTGGAGTAATTATTTTCTAGACAACTTTTTCCTTTTACTCCTTACATTTTAAAAATAGACTCATTAGTTTTGTTTCATTTAAGCTCATTTTCATTCTGGCCTGTTGGTATTTAAAAAAAAAAACAAAAAACATACAAATAATTAGTTTCATCCAGACAATTAATTTCTTTATGGTTGGACTCGGTGCTGCCCCAACTTATTGCTCACCACATACCAAAATAAATACTTTTTCAAGTTATATTTGACACCATTAGTTATAAAACTAAGAAAATGAAGTCTGAGGATGTTTTCATCCAGAATTGTAGAAAAATGTTCCTTTAATAGGGAAGAGCAGTAAAGCTTCTGTCCTTAACATTACTTTTCACTTTTGTACTTTTAAGTAGTTTTAAAATGGTACTTTTAAACTTTTACTGGAGTAAAAAGCTTAAGTTGATACTTTAACTTCTACATAAGTGTTTTTTTTAAAAGCAGGATTTATACTGCAGGAATAAACATGAATAATTTTGAAACCTCTGACTTTCATTTGGTTTGAACTCGATATGTGTTACATTGAAGATGGAGAAAGGTTTGAATTGATCGATCATGATTAAAACATCACAGTTTTTACGGCTTTCATTTCAAATCACATTCATGACGTTTATTGGTATAAAAAAGTTTGAGATCCAGATCAATGTGGAGACTAACCTGATTGACAAGTCTCCTAAATTCTCCACATCTCCAAACCTCATGACCAGCCTGAAGAGGACAAACACAGAAACACATCAAGATGAGTCAAGATTGTCATCAACTGTGGTTTTGGTCCAGAGTTTCACAAACTGGTTGGTTTCTAAGTGAGCGTACGTGGCCGTTTCCTGCTGGCAGAGCGACTCCCTGGTGTCGACAAGCTTCTGAGGAGAAAAGGTGAGCTCCGTCAGATCCACCGGTTTCTGCTTCTCAAAGCGAAGAGAAAATTTCCTGGCTTGGAACAGAATACAGGGTTCTCCATTCGACTCCACCTGCAGCATTGGCAAAATAAAAGCAAGGATAAAAAATGTTTTTTTTTTTGTTAAATGAAAAGTCCGCTCGTTTTCAGAATTCAAAC